CCTTGCTGTTGTTGATTATGCAAAGTGATACAGGTGACTATCGGAGTGATACGGGTGGCTAATGATATTGTCATGGCAGAGTAATACGGGTGGCTATCGGAGAGATAGGGGTGGCAATGTCAGGGATGATGTGTGATGGCCTAGGGGCATTATGTTGATGATATTCATGTGATAGTGTAATTCTCTTTGTGAATGGCATGCACCTTACATGATTTGTTGTGTTTCTTTCAATGAGCTACTCGATGTCTTTGATATTACTTGTTGACTTGGGATGTAATAGCACACTCGCACAAGCATACACGTAGCATGCCACTTATACTCGTTCAGGAGTACGAAACTTAATATTTATTGATCATGCCCATGTATTCTTGTATTATATGCTTTCATGTTGATATTGAGCATGTGACCATGCGGGGCGCATTGCGATATTGAGCATGTGACCATGCTGGGCGGATTGTGATAGTGAGCATGTGACCGCACCGGGCGGATTGATATATTGGCACGTGAGTTGTCCGTGCGGTTGTGATTAGAAATATGGGCATAAGGTGCCGTGAGCATATGATTTGTGGGTTGAGACTCGTGACTTGTGATTATGAGATGAGGTATCTCGGAGTAATTTCATTGCAAAACATGTGTTAGAACAGCTTGATTAATTGGTTGTTATTTATCTTCCTTATTTGGTTTCAATGGTACTTTCACATTGTTCTTATTACTTTACTGTTTATATCACATGTTGATTATTGTTGCCACTTACTGATTTCTGCTTTCATTATTAGCTTTATACTTCTTTATGGAACAAGTTATTTTGACTAGTAGGTGTCTTGACTTGTACCTCGTCACTACTCCACCGAGGTTAGTCTTGATACTTACTGGGTATCGACCGTGGTGTACTCATAGTACACTTCTGTACATTTTTGTGCAGATCCAGGTATTGGAGATATCGGACCCAGGCATAGTTATCTTATTGATCGCGAGAATTCAAGGTAGAGCTTCTTGGTCATCACAGTCCGTTGGATTCCTTTCCTTACATTGTACTGTCAGCTTGTTATTTGAACATTATTGTATTTTGATCTTTGAGATCTTTCCATTTATTCAGTTAGAGTTCGTGACTTTGTATAACCTAGTCTTGGGAGGTTGTTATGATTATTGTCGCATAGGCTCGTTTCGCTTTTGTTTCGGTAATCATATTAAACTCTGTTTTAAATTATCATTGTCAAACTGGCTTAATTATTGAAAGTAATCGGCTTACCTAGTCTTAGAGACTAGGTTCCATCACGACGCCTATGGTGGGATATTGGGTCGTGACAGTTTATTTTGCTCGCGAGGTTCTTTTGATGCCTTGCTCGCCTATTCAACCCAACCTAATACTATACGTCTATAAAATCAAGTTAATTATAATGCATGTATGTCTCTTGCGATTGTAGTCAAGTAAGGTAGTTAGAATATGTCTATCCGAATCACAAATCTATTCTCCGATGCCTGGATTCAAGAACTTACTCTATTTAATCTTATATGCAATCTTTAGTTCCCAATTTTGAGTGCAACTAAAGATTTGCAGATAGTATTCTACTGTTAGCTGCAGTAAAATAATTAAGCACAGGATTGAATAAACAAATCAATATGATTAAATCAAGTAATCTCAACAACCGCCCAACATCAATATTCAAGAACAACCCATAACCCCATAAACAAGAGGGGTTTTAGCCACTCATGATCATATAAACAATCAAAATATTGTTGTGAATCATAAGAACTACAAATACTACATTAAGGATAAGATGAGATGATTTCGTGCTCCGTTTGTGTTCCTTAGACCTCCTTTCCTTCAAAAAAATGTCCAACCCCCTCTTAGACACGTTTACGGGGTATTTATAGGTTAGGGCAGAAGTCTCCAAGTTCAAAATCAATAGGGAAACAATCTTCTCTCTGACAGGACACCCACATAAGGCCTGGTGTGGGGTGAGGCTGGACTCCTCGCGAGGCCAAGTGAGAGGCGAGGTCCTACACCTCGCGAGGCCAGGTCAAACGCGAGCTTGAACTCGCCCTAGGCCAAGTGGGGAGCAGTTCAGGGCCTGGTCTCCTCCGTGTCTTGCGCTGATTTTCCTTTCGCGCTCTTTTATTGTATTTTCAACATCATTATGTGAAATTTTCTTTCGACTTTGTGTTCAAATGGTCCTACACATAAAATCAACCCAATTAAGCTTAAACGTTGCACAATTTATCATTAAAATACCAAAATATAAGGTAAATAATGTAATAAAAATATAGCATGATTGTTCCATCTCCGGAATAATAGAATGTAGAACAAAATTGATGAATTTACATTCAGCTTTCCTTAGAGAAAAATATGAGGAACTTCTAATAAATATATATATTTGAAAAGCAAAAGACCAAACAATTAAAGAGCTGTAACTGAAATAGTAGTACTTCAAGTCTAACTTAGTTCGGTGAATGAGGGATTTTGTGAAAAAGAAAGGAAAGTTTTCGTGCAAGATTAGGATCTGAAGGCACTATTTTGTTTTTTATTTTATTTTTTCAAAAGTCCACCGTTGGTGGATTGTGAGGTTTAGGCTTGACCCCGACATGTAGATTATCAAAAAATATTAGTACATGGAGGAGGACATATACCATAACCTCCAAACTACACTGAAGAGTGATATTAATCACACTTATGATCATCTGAAAGTTCCTGGGAGATTATCTTCATTAAATTGTGATTGCAATAAGCTTCACAAAGGATGCTATTATACATACAGTTACCACCACTATACATTTGTCAGAACTATCTATTGTTAGCATCATTAAAAATAAAAATGGTTCTTCCTTGGTTTTATTTTGAAATTTGGAATGCCCTCTTTATCCAATCTTACTATTGACTTCACTATTTCCGGTAAAAATCAACTTCCATCAAAAGTAAATTGATCTTTTATGCATTTCCCATAATTAACGAGGTGATCAGCAGCCATATGCCTTCTCTGTAAATATGGACAAACTCAAAGTTAGCAGTACTAGAGAGCTGGATAATCTGATCAATAATATTCTAGATCTGCCAAGGTGATTTCATTTTGTTGTTAATCACGTCGATAATCAATTGGGAGTCAGATTCCACAACCACATAGAGAAAACCTCTGCTACTGCACAACCATACCATATAACAAGGCTTTTGCCTCAACCAAGTTGTTACTCTCATGGCCATAATATTCAGCATAAGCCAGAACACAAACTCCACCCCCTCCTTTAGAACTTCCCTGATTGCCTTTACAACAACCATCAATATTCAACTTCAACCATCCAATATCAGGCTTCTTCCATATAACAATTTATGATTGATTGCTTTGCATTTTCAACTGCATAACAAAGCTCATTCCAAGCTAGAGGTAATTCCAGTCTAGGGAATTTGATATTTAGTAATATTCTCATGACCTTACAAACCTGTTGTATGATTATTCTACCAGACATACGAATATTCTCATATCTTGCTGCACACCTACTCTTCCAAATTTTCCAACATATAATTTATTGAAAGGCACTGAAATACCACAGCATGGACACCATTTTTAGCCTTAGTTAACCACCAAAACATAAGAGTCTGCGTAATGTTACCATGTCTAATAACAATAGCACAGCTTTGAACAAAAAAAGACCATACATGTACCGCAATTCGGCTTTGACAAAAGAAGTGCAAAATAGTCTCATCCTGAAGGTTAGAGCAACAAGAACACCAGGAAGGCATCATTATATTAAATTTTTGAATAGCTTCATTAACTGGTAGATATCGATATTTTGTGAACTATATATCTATATGTTGTTCTATTTATGTAACGTTTGCACCATTTTTGATAATTATTCTAATTAAACTGAAAAAAATCAATGACATAATAATTAAGGACTAACTGAACAGGTGATAAATGAACGAAAAAATAAAAACAAGAGTTCCAATTTGCTATTTAAGTAACTGTTCAGTATCTTGAGTTTGCTGTTTAGTGATCTTAAATCAGAAGTAAAACAGTTGCACATTATTAATCAGAAACACAAGAAAATCACGAATTTAGATATTGTCATTTCATTTTTCCACCAATTATACTCTTTCTATTATTTCTTTCATTGGCGTTTGGACCAATAATTGGTTGAAATTGAAAGAAATAGTATTTTAAGTTGAGTTGAAAAGAATATTTGGAAGTTGAGCGTGTTTGACCAAATTTTTAAAACGCTTATTTTGAAAAATATTTTGGTCAAAAATATCTTTTCAAAGAAGTAGTTTTGAAGATAAGTTAAACCAATTCATTTGAAAGGTACTTTTTAAGTATTTCATAAACGGTTAAGTGACAAAGGAACTTGGACAAATGTCTAGCATGATTAGAAGCCACTCCCATTCCTATAAATAGGCTAGTCATGACACCATCAAGAAAATATCAAAAACATTTAATAATATCTCTCCGTGAAATTTCGCTACTATTCTCTTATTTCACTAACTATTCTGTTATTTTATAACGTGTTATCAGCAAAGCAAAGAGCCTCTAATTTTCAGTCCTAACATCAAATTTAGTTCAGTTTCATTCTCTCATCAGGTATATTATCATTGTCTCTTAGGCAGTGCAAAATAGTATTAACTGCCACGGTGCTACAGGAAGGTTTTTCTTCAACATCTTAGTGTAATATTATTCTGAAACGTAATTCTGATTTCTTGCCACTTATATTGTTTAAGTTACACTGACGCCCCTATACATGAAGACGGCTAATGGCTATGATTAAAAAAAGATGGTTAAGTGCCAAATCAGGAGGTAATGGTTAAATTCTTCTGTTGCTTTCCTATCACCTTAATATGATTGGGTTGTGAAGACCTTTTTTAAACTTCTTGGTCTTTTGTTGTACATAATCACTACTGTCTTTTGTTAAATTCTTCTGTTACCGTTTCGAAGAAAAAGTGAAATTGTGCATCACTGTTGGCTACTAGAGTTCTAAGGTTCATTTCAGAAATTATATGGGCCAATTAATACCTCTTGTAGTAAAGCTCTCCTTCCTATATTCAATCTGATAAAGCATTTACATACTCTTGGGGTGAGCCGTGAGGAGACAATCTACTGCAATAGTCTATAGATTATCGTCTTCACTGTAATCTTCGTCGTAATCAGAGGCCGATTCATCATTTCTGGGCTCCAGTAGAGTATTCATGTCAAAGGACGATTCACCTGCTTCCATTTCTTCCATGTCAATAAAGTCATAACTCATCCGCTGATTAAATTTCTCATCGGTACAATTAAGAAGCCATGCAAGGGAACACTTTAAGCCCTTTTCTGCAATCCTTTTATGTCTTGGTTTTATTGTGGACTCCAGACCATAAGTGAAGAAAGCTGGGAAAGCCACCAAATCTTCTAACGGTCTTGCCATTGTGGTTTTGAAATACTCAAAACTCTGCTTCATAATGTCTAGATTTAGAGCAAGCACCTGAGGACATCCCACAACCATTTCTCGCACTTGTTCAGAGGAAAATCCACATCCCTTGAGGAAATCAACATGCTTCACTACAGGTGCTTTACTGAGGCTGATGATCTGCGGCATCTTTTCCACAACTCTGCCAAAATCTTCAGGACTTGATTCGATTACTGAATTGAGAAATCCTTGTTGACTTGGAAGTCTTGCCTCCAGGTCCATTCCTAACATCTCTGGGTATTGTGCAATTACTGAAGGAAGTGCAGTTTCCCGCACGTTAAACTGTAAAAGAGATGTTATATTTGGTTTCACCCTTTCTTTCAGTCCAAATCCAAGAATGTGCGGATGCTTTTCGATCAATCTGGCCACAGCTAGCCGCGGAATTCCCAAGATTTCCAGATATTCTACGAATGGTTTAATTACCCGACCTACCCGCATCCCTAATATCTCAGGATATCTAGTCAGAACCCCACCAATTTCTCTTCTTGCCACCCCAATTCCTACCAAATAAGCAACTGAAGTACTCATTGTGCCCTCAAGCTTGAATCCCAGTACTTCAGGATACTTCTCCACTACTCGAGGGATATCATTTGGTTTAATATCCATGCCTTGAAGATATTTCACAACCGGAGCAAGGTCTACCACCACACTTGCATGGAGAACTTGTGGGTAACGCCGCAAAAAGTCTGTCAAAGTGGATTTTCTAACACCCAAGTTGCCCAGATAATCAAGCACAGGGATCATGTTTTTCTTCACACTGCATCCTAGAATAAGAGGATAGTTGTTAATATCTTCAATTGTGAGTCCCAATTTGTGAAGAAAGTTCACCCGTTCTCTCATGACCTCCACAGTTACAGGAAGCTCTAATCCATCGAGCTCGTCAGGTACAATGCCGATGCCCCTCAAGAATTCATAAACACGTTCACGGATGGCTGCCTTCTCATTCCTCATCTCTAATAAACTAGGATGAGTGTAGAAAGATGATCTCTTTTCTTTCCTACTGCCACTGTAAGTGTCCGTCATAACTGAAGATGAATCCAAAGAGCTTGATGAAAGAGCAGCTCTCATAGCAAAGCAACAGGGTAATCTCATTATCAGGTCCTTTTTCTTCTCATTGAAACTCGAAATACTTGGAGCTGAAGCAGATATTAACCGGGGTCGATGGAAAGTGTTGGAGGGCAAGTCGTGATTTATGAGCAAAAAACTGGGATTAATGATGCGATTATGACTAATGATCTTCATATTCTTAAGATACCTGCACCAGACAAAGATGTAATTGTCAAAATAAAGCCTTCAGACTCACAATGTCATCAGGAAATAAGTTGAACAATTAATATCATTCTTTCTCTCCTGTTTTTAGTACATAATGAGTTAAGGATGATGTGGAAAGTAAGTCCTTTCAAGTATAGTAATGTTGCACAAAAAAAAAAGAGTAAGGCTTGGGAAAGTTGATTAGTAAGTGGGCAACATTAAACCATTGGATTTAAAACATGAAGTAGCAATGGCAGAAGTAGGCAAGTGACCTTCCTTCTCAACCACAAAGCAGAACCAAGTAGTAATAATTTTAAGCTTTAATTGATTCAGTTATAAGAGAAGAATCTAAAATTGGAACGATACCAAGAAGATTGGCATGGCCCCTCGCAAGGATGACATGCAGAAATCAAGAAATGGTTCAAAAAAGTAATAAAAGAAGAGTCTAATGTGTAGAAAACTTGTTTACTAGACTGAGAAAGTATGATAACTTCTCTCATGCTTAAAGGGCACAAGGACACGTTACCACAGCAGTACTGTTAGTCTCTGGATGTAAAGTTATAAACCTTCCAATTGAGATTGATTAATAGGTAATGGGATAGCAATAGCCAGCCTCCTTTATGTTCAACAATCCAAGCACCCATGAGAAACTACTCCTAGTGTTTTCTTTTTCCTGTATTCAGTACACCAATCCCACCCTTATCCCACTCCCCAAATTGACTCTTTTATGAAACTTTTTTTTTTTAAATGATTAACACTTCCATAAGTTTTTTATGAAAGATGTTACAGATCATTAAACAGCTCTACAGGGAGTAGACCTTAAGAAAGTAAAATATTTGGGCAAAGGTCCGCACTGTACACATGTTAGTTTGGGAATTACAAACAGAGATGAAAATTTTAGAAAGATTTTTTTATAAGGATCATTAATCTTTTGAAGGGAAGCCTTGGAGCAACGGTCAAGTTGTCTTTGTGTGACCTATAGGTCACGGGTTCGAGCCATGAAATTAGAGCTTGCATTAGGGTAGGCTACCTACATCACACCCCTTTTGAGGTGCGGCCCTTCCCCGGACCCTGCCTGAATGCGGGATGATTTTTGCACCGGGCTGCCCTTTTCTTCGATCATTAATCTTTTGAAATTCTTAAAAAGACAAGGACATAAACTATAAAACAAAAGAGACTTGTAAAGTTCGCCGAGTTACTCTTTTAACATTCCCAATTTGGACATTGTTGAAAGAGTGCCATGTCTAGTTTTCTTCCAGGGAACTCTGCTTCTCAAATCAAATAGGCATAGCCATACACAATCTGCTACACCACCTAACTGGGTTACTTATTTTCAGTAAGAAGAAGGGTGCCCAGATATTTCCCCCTAACTACACATACCAAGTGAATCACCAAGCCTTCCCAATAGCAGATGTATCATTTGTACCTTCTAAGCTGCTTAATTGACGACAAAACAATCAAAATAGTCACTTCTTTCAAGAACTGAACACATCGCACTAGTTATGAACAGGTAGCATCTATCAGTGAACCCTATAAAAAGATTAACTTGACGCCAGCATAGCCAGGTCAACCATTACCTAATTGAAACACTAAATAGGGACTCTACAAATGTTTCATACTTAGCTACATTTCCAGGTAAAGAATTACCCAAAGAAGAGAATGTCTCCAGTAGACATTTCTTATCGCTCCTAGGGCTTTATAGATCATGGTAAAGAAACTACAAAGGGAGATAATGTTACTCTTTTTGGAAAATTATAATTCTTGTCAGTTGTCAGTAGCCATCTATATAATCGCAATGAGATCTTACTCTTAAGCACTAAAAGGATCTACTCTACAGTTCATTATCTTCGTTCACTGAGTTGCTGACAAGGTTTAACTACAATGAGTCTACACTTTAAAAATAGCTTCTCCAGACTCTAATTAACTGTATCTTACAGTATAGGAAATGAAAGCTAAGAGGGACGAAACAATTACTACTCTAAAGGAAACATACACCAAAATCAAATGGGGTATCTGAATAAACTTACCAGAAAAGAAAAATAAAAGGAATAAAGCCGACGGATTTTTCCTCCAGGTGAAGAACTAGAAGGGCGCAAGTCAGGTGTGTAAAAAGAGAAAACAGAGAAGATAATGGTATAGAATGAGCACAAACAAAAGCAAAGGAATGAGTTTGGGCTTTTTCTTGCTGGGCATGTGTGGGCTACAAGAGTGGATATTAGGTCTGGTTATCATAGGCCGTAAATCGTGGGCATTGCTTGGGAACTTTACATAACTACGCAATTTTAAGGGTAATTTGCACAAAAAGGATTTTTTTTGCGCTGCAAGCCTGCAACTTATATATTATCCATACTTGTGCGAAAATTGGCCTTAACAAGTATAATAAAAGGAATTCTGAATTAGAATACCCTAAGTTGAGCGTGAATGTGAAATACACAAATTGGTAGGACTTTATACTATACTTAACCTAGCTATTCTATTGGATAGCTCACAAAATTACCGGATTGGTATGACTTTCTTGTTCAATTGTTCACCAAATTCTACTAGACTAACATCACTTTTTGTTATCTTCATTTGATCTTTCATATAAATTATTCACAAATTAATTTGCATGATTTGTTTGTGTCATTCCATAAGGAATTTTGTTAATTTTACAATTAAATTTCGATCAAACCACCCCAAATCTACTCCAAATAATCTTAAATTTGAAAGAAAGTCTCCAAATACCACCACAAAACAATCATCAATCACCATTTTAGTCAAACAACGCTAAATCAAGAAGACCTATTTTGTCCTCTTTAACACTTTGTGAAGATTAACGATGGAGTTTTAGAAATTTTTAAGGCAAATCATAAAATCCGTGTTTGAACTAAAAATTTAAGTACAAAATAATCAATATTTCAATACTTTTAATTATCAACCGTCAACTTTGAAATTTCATCTCTAAATAAGAATTTCAAGTTGTTTTCAAAATTGAAGAACTATGATATTCATGGTCAAGAAGAAGGCATGGATAAAAAGCGCAAGAGTGGAAAGACAAAAGGTTATTAAAACACATGAACAAAAACAGGAACACTCCGTGTTATGATTTTAAAAGACTCGTTACAAAATTTTAGCATTAATATTCTCTCATTTACATTCCATCGCATATCCCAATCAATAAAAGGAATCTCAGCTGGTACCACACCAATCCTTTCCTTTTTTCTAGCTAAAAGAATATTCTCCTCCTAGGTTTTCTTCCTACTAAATTAGCTATAACGGTAAAAAAAAAAAAAGCCCCTTAATCAATTTTTCTTTTATTTTTCATATTCCTAATGGCTATTCTTTCATTTCTTCCTCTTTATAAGTTCCTCCATTGAAGCGTAACAATTGTTCTTTCTTTTTGTATGATTCTAGATTTTCTTCTTTAATTGTTAAAGTCCTTAGTCATATTCTTGGTTTCCTTCCTAGTTTTCTCCAAGATATTGAAGATGAACCCACTTTGTAAATGTGGGTATCCGTCACATTTGAAAATTTCATGCTCAAATGACAATCCTGGAAGAAGATTTTTTGGTTGTAAAACATATAAGGTATGATAAAGTAATGTGTAGAAGATTTAAATTGATTATAATTTATGTTGGGTTTGTTCTAGGTTTTTTCATAAAAACAAATTGATAGTTGTGCTTTTTGTACAGGTTAAAGATCGTAAGGCTTGTAATTGTTTTGAGTAGTACGAACCGAAATTTCCAAAACAAGCTAATGTTGTCATTTTGGGTTTGTTGAAAAAGAGAAATAAAAAAGAGCAAGAGCTGAAGTGGAGAAGAAATAGAAGATTTCTATGTAAATACAAGTGAAATTGGGAGCGACATTTGAGAGATTTTTTGATAGAGTTCTGCTGGACATAGAGAGAGAAATGTTTAGAGAAAAATGAAATATTTATGTTTTACTTCTAACGTTTTGCCTTTTACCTTTTCTTCATTTTTTTCTTTAGTAATTAGTATAAAAATTTAATATCATTTTATTTTGCCTATGTGGAGTACAAATCAGATAAATTGTCCAAATGTATCTGTATGGGAAAAAATCTACCCAAGAATATTTAGGGTAATATAACATTAAGGGAAGAGTCAGCCGAGGTCGGCCAGGGAGCAGCAAGATTCGTGGTCGAGACGTCAATAATGACCGAGGTCGAGCACCACTGACAGAGCAGTAACGGCTAATTTTTGAAATAGGATATTAAAGAGAATATTCTAGTGAATATCACTTGTACCATTAGGGTTTTGTTAGAGATATGTCTCAAATAAATAAGAAAAAAGAAGGAAAAAAGGCAGGTAATATTCACTTGATAAGAACACTTTTCAGAAGAAGATTCCTTATCTTGTAAAGATATAAAGATTACCTTTTTATCAAGATTCTTGCCCATATTATTCCACACTTTTCCACCAGATCCGAGAATAGTTCAAACAAACCTTGGATTTATATGTCATTCATCATTGTCAGGAGGAACATTCGTCCAATCCATCCTTTATTGGGTAAATCATTCCTCTTATTTACTTAAATGCCATTTATTGTTATTATTGCTAGTTACACCTCCATTATTGCTCATTCTTTATGAACATTTTGTGCCTACCATTGTCAACATCCCACTGGATTTACCCCATCTCACGCACGTTTTTAAGATTCGCATATAGAGTTATTATCTTTAACTAGATTTAACCCATTATTACATATATTTAATAGTTTAGCCGAAAGTTACACTTTTTGGTCAAATAATTTGGCGTTGTATGTGGGGATTATCTAGTTAACTCTTTTAGTTTCTTCTAGATCTACAACTGACACATGTTACTAACGTTAAAAAAAACAAGAACAAGAATATTTTTCCCCTCTGCATACATAGATCTAATATGGCAGGTAACAGAGAAGAAAGAATGAGAATAATAAGTGACCTCTCAAACAACCTTATGAACATTATCTATGAGAGCTCTGAAGCAGTGGACGAGGACACAACACTCAATGCCTCCCCCAAGCGAGGTGGGTCACCCTCTCCCCATTGCAACATCACAAAATCTCTTGGTAAGACAGCCTCCACATCCGCGGTGGAGGAGGCGCCGCCAGCAATAAAGAATCTCCTTGAGGCCTGGCTAACTGATACGCTGACTAGTGTCCTCCATAAGCCCGTTTGGGTATACGGCTACAGAAAACGCAAGAACCTGTGTTGTACCACCAGTGGACGGGCAACATGATCAACCTCATCCTCCTCCTCCTCATCCTCCTCCTCCTCATGATCAGTGGACGGGCACCATAACGACAAGTATTACTCATAATGTTGTTAGCAATACAGGTGACGACGCTCTCACCTCCATTCTGAAAAGGATGGAGGAAATGGATAATGAGAACAAGGTACTTCAAGACCAAATGAGAGAACACCAAGAAAGGGTCGATAAAATATCGAGCGCTCTTAAGCTCTTGCCGAAAAAAGATGTCGGTCGATTCGTCGAGCAGCTGTACAATGACAGTACTTCCCCGCATGCCATACCAAAGACCTTTAAAATGCCGCCATATCTGAAAATATACGATGGTACAACCGACCCCGAAGATCACGTGACTCACTACGTCACCGCCATGAAAGGCAATGACCTCACCAAGGAACAAGTGTCCTCCATTATACTAAAAAAACTCGGCGAGACCCTCACAAGAGACGCGTTGACCGGGTATTCACAACTGCATGCACGTTCCATTGAACCTTCAAGGAAATGATCGATAAGTTCGTAACGGCCCATGTCGGGGCCAAGAAGGTTGCTATTAAACAGTCTCTGGGAGAAGGGATGAGGGACTTCCTCGCCCGTTTTAACCGAGTAAGAATGACCTTGCCAAACGTATCGGAAGGAATAGCGGGGCAGCTTTTCAAAATGAGCTGAGCAGAAATGGTTCAAGGGCGACAAGAAAGTTATTAAGTCGGCTTATGAAGTATCCTCCAATGACTTGAGACGAAATACATAACGCATATTGCGCCGAAGTTCGAGCAGACGAGGACTATCTTAATGAGCCGACCTATCTACTGACCTCGGAGCAAGCATAATCCAGGAAAGATAGAAGAAATGATGTTACAAGAGATCCCACGACCTCACGACCAAACCGGGAACGACATCTCCCATATGTTAGAACCACCGTTGCGTCCTCATCCCGCCATGAAGAAGGCCCACCCCGATCAAGAACAGGGACTCATCAGAACGAGAGAGGTATGCCCATTTTACTATCCGCTCACAATTTTTGTGTGTCGCCTACAGAGATAGTCTAAAAGATGAGGTCAGACACAAATACCAGAAAATCAGATGCCCTCTACGAGTTCCATCAAGAGCGGGGACACAAAACTGAAGATTGCATCCCCCTAAGACAGGAGGTCATAAACATGCTGCGACAGGGACACCTTAAAGAATTGCTGAGCGATCGGGGAAGGACCAACTTTGCTAGAGGACGTGAACAATATCAAGGACTGCCGAAACTGCCCTCGCCAGCCTGCAACATCCACATGATCATCAGTGGCGGGGATGACGCTTCCAACAACAGTGTGAAGTTCACCACAACCCACAAGCTCAAACGGTCGATCACCCACGAACGGTATGATGAACTCAAAGAAAGTATCATCTTCGATAAGTCAGATACCAACGGTTTGGCTTTACCTCACTATGATGCTCTTGTTATCACTTTACAAATTTTCGATACCGACGTGAGACGGATTATAGTAGACGATGGGAGGGGCCATGTATTATCCATCCTCGAGTACTTGCACAAATGAAACTCGAGGACAAGATAGCGACATGCTGCATCACACTAACAGGTTTTAACAATGCAGTTGAGCGAACATCTAGCGAGATCACACTCCCCGTCCTAGCAGGTGGCGTCACTCTGGAAACCACATTCTATATCATGGACCAGGACACAACATACAACACCATAATATGGCGACCATGGATACACACCATGAGAGCTATCCTTTCCAGCCTATACCAAGTCATCAAATTCCCAACTCGGTGGGGAATATTCAGTATACGAAGGGAGCAACGCACGTCCCAGGAATGCTAACGTATCGCCTTAGAGTGTACAACCACCCAACAAATAAAGGATAAAGAAAAAAAGTCATAGCAATCAGGGACCCCGATATTATTGAGGCCGCAGGATCGACCGTAGAGGACCTCGACCCCATTCAGTTAGACAGCGACGACCACAGCAAGAAAGCTTACATCGGTCGCAAACTTCAGGAACCGGGTAAGTTTCGT